GTGGCATCCCTCCCCACCCCCACCATGTGCTGTGGACCCTGGTGGCGACCAACTCCGGACCCCCACCCCCAGCTCCGTTCCTCACTTACGCATGCCTGAATGTTATGCAGATCGGATCAGCTGAGCGTCGCAATGTAAATGACTGCGACGACTCTCCCGCAGCGCTGCCGCTGAATTTCGCTCGTAATGACGACGGCCTTGGCGCATCTTTTGACTTTATTTTTTCCCACCGAGCAACGCTGTCACACCCATTCTCCCTCCTTTCGTTTTTTCCTCCTCACGAAAGCTATACAACGTCTTATCATAAACGCTTTCAATTTTTGACAGACAAACCTCGCGGTTGAAAGGGTAAGAGGAGTGCGGCGGCATGCATACAGGCAGTCCAGCCAAAGCGCGCTGCTGGGCCTGTGGCGGGGTGGAGCAGGACGGCATTCCGATAGGTGTGCTGTGCGCTTGGGCACAGCACATTGCTGCAAACAGGCAACGACGGTCGTTACAAAAATTTATGAAATTCCACGACCGTTTCATTTCGAGCCTGGTATACCATGACCGGGGGCCAGCGATGCTGGGCCGGTTGGGGAAAGGGGAGGAGGGGATTTTCAATAACCAAGCTGCGGTCCACGGTATCGCGGACCTGCTGCAGATAACGTACACCTGCGAATCCCGTGCTGAGGCTGACGTACGTACCCCTGGAGCTGTGCCTTGCTATTCGACGCGAAAGTTCCCACAGTACATGTTCCGTTCCATCATGTCCCTCATTCTTTTTTCTTTTCAAAACAAAAAATAATCATTAAGAATGAAACAAATTTGTTTCGAGGGATAATGGAGAAGACCTCTCAGCAGCGCCACGCTTATGCTGTAGCAAAATTCATCCTCGAGGCCGCCTCATTAAGCAAAACGGAAAGAGGAGAGCAGGTTGTAATGCGCGTGTTCGCCGGGCGGAGGGTGTGAAGGGGTAGAGGGGCTGAGCCCCCCCACCCCCCACACCCGCTCCCCGCCTGCCGGACGGGCCGGCCAGCGCCGCTGTGTAATGTAAATATAGAGGCCAGGTATGAGGCTTAACTGCATTAAGATGGGCCGGGCGCGCATGCAAATTATTTCATTGTTTTGGGGCTGAACAGGCGACAACGGTGTAATACGTTATTGTTATTTGTCCGTCGGCTCACTTTCTCCCTCCCCCTCGCCCCTACCCCTCCCACTCCATCGCTCTTCCCGGTTTCAATATAGCCAGACCCTCGTCCTCGCGCCAGACTTGACAATCTTGACGCTGTAAAAGAGGGTTGGTGCAGTAAAGTTTGTGGTATGTATTGTATCGCAATTTTTGATTTGCGTCTGCAAAAAAGATGTGTAGCCCGCATCATCTGCTCCGTGTCATTTTATACACCTAAGATTATGTTTCAATAGGAAAAGAAACAACAACTAACTTGTTTGTGCGTCTCTTCCTGCGGCTAAATGATAATTCCCGGGGGGGATGCGGCTGGTCGGTCAGGGTCAGCCTTGCGAGGCGTTCGGCGGCGGCTCGCTCCCGCGCCACTCGCTTGCGCGGCGGCTGTATAAATCATTCAGGAGTTTACACCGACGACCGACCGACCGACCGACCGGGCGGTAATTTACCAGCAGCAGGAAGAGTTTTGATATCTGACGGGACTATCGCCAATCAGTAATCGGGGCGCCATCCATCACGACCCCCCGGCCGGGGCTTGGTCCGGGGGGTGGCAGGGGGCCAATCTCCCGCGCGGCGCAGAGCTCTCTGTCTGGAGCAGCGGCAGAGCGCCACGCACTCCGCCCCCC